ACTTGTCCTGCAATTGTCGTAGCTGTCACCAATGCGCGCTATTTACAACATCATACTTGAGCGCCTCCAGTTATACCTATAACAAATCAAATCTGGAGCCACTGCGATGGTCACGTACCACAACATGAACACTTAACTGAGCCACGCACTAATCATCTACATGAGCCCCTGCAAAAATTGATCGGACCAGACGTCACGTCGCCACACACGTGGACATATCTACAGAAAACCAGATAAGCGAGACACAGAAAACGTTGAATGGCCTCACATGCCGCACTCATCTCCTACTCCCTAACCTCTTCGGAATGCTTCCATGTAATCTTCACCACAGAATCTATCAAACAAAACCAACCACTCGCATCATTACCGTATAGGTAGGAGCGTACCGGCATCTGACTTAACAGTACCTTAGCGTCCTCGCACACCAGTATGATAACTACCCGATACTCAAGCGCACAAGTAAACCGGAAGAGTCACACATTTCTCACTTTAAGTCACAGATACACAATACATAATGGTTGGGAAAGACTATTTAGAGATTAGTGACAAAGCCATCGTCAAAAACCTAGGTAGGTTCAAAAGCGGTCTCTTTTCACCACAAATCTTCAATTGATAAAAAGCAAATTGTCTGAGCCACAACACAGCGAAGTGTCACAGAACACTGATACATACAACACGACATAAGGCCACGGATTCACCAGGCATTGCAGAAATCTCCAAAAGTGTAAGGTACTCAGGCTTGACATCATCTAAAGCAGCCACAAATAACGATATATCGTGAAATCAGGCAACCTTTGTGCCGAGATCGGATGAACATGCTTTTTAGTGGGTATCCTAAATCAAACCTAAGCACAACATGCCCCAGACAAATAGTCAAAAGCCTAAACTATTCACCACGCCAGGGCAGTAGGACGCCTTCATAAATCTGTGTAGCTGCAGAGAGGGGAGGAATGCTGCGAGAATGAAAAGAACTATGAAACTTATGCATGGTATCAGTTGCGTACCCCTATTCATATTGAGATTTTGATCTTCATATTTGAATTAAGTCTCGAGCCAGACACCGTATCCAATACCGCCTATGATCCAGTCAGGGCAGAACCTACGAAGTGCTGATAGAGAAGTGCCTTGCGCAGAGGTTATCCTAGCTCCAGGAAGCACCTGACCGCAAACAGACAAACCCCCGCATGCAGAATGCTACATACTAAACAACAGTTGGTGGTCAAATCATACATGAATCCTCCCAAAACACTCCCTGTCTGGCACACAACGATGCCACCCTGACCCGTCGCACCTTCCATAGTCCAATAATAGGCTGGGACTAGAGGAGAACAGAAGCATCAATAGCCCCCCACCCATTCTCGTCTCATTTTTCCTATATGACCAGATCTGTTGGCCTTAATTTTTCTATTTATAGTTACATACTGTTGCTCGCGCTGCTCAAGCTGCCTTTCGAACTCCGACCTCGAGCACTCTGCCCTCCTCAGCCTCCCAGCATGCAGGATTCAGGCGCATGAGCCACCCGGCCTATGCTTTTTTTGAGACATCCCTCAACTTCACCAGCTAAGTGCAGTGGCGCCATTAAACTCCCTGTGACTCCACTCCTGGCTTAGGCATCTCCGCCTCAGCTTCGAGAGTTGCGGGCATAGCAGCACGTCCCCATGCCCGCAATTTTCTATAATATTTTATTATCCAGCCTAAGTTCTTTCTTTTCTTTTTGTTTTTTCCTTGTTTTAAGTAGCAGACAGGGTTCCTCTTGCCTCGAGCTGCGTCTGAACTCCTGAGCTCAAGTGATTTCTCCTGCCTTCGCCTCCCAGAGACCTGATACAGGTTGAGTATCCGGCTGGCTATTCTTGTTGCTGGACATTGACTTCCTCGTTTTCAGTCTGGCCTCTTTTCTGGCTGCTTTCCTCTCCTCCTCTGTTCCTCTCCCGACCTTTGTTTTCCAAACCTCTCATGGAAGAACTAATCGGTTCCCGTTTAGTGTTTAGTCATTACGTTCACTGGGAAAATGTGAATGTAACAGAACCAGGGGGGGGAAAGATCATTTAGATACGGTTTAAGAAGAAGGCCCCCCTACAGACACCTAGAGTAACCAGTCTCAGGCAAAATCGACACCCATCTGAACATCCGACAGAAAGCAGAGAAACCAGAATATGTTATCACAAAGGCGATCTCATAACTACAAGAGAAGACACGGACTACTGATCTGTCGTAAACTCACATAAGGGACACAACAGTAACCACACAGAAGGAAAGCGGCAAAGCGATCATCTAAGTGATAAAGAGCAACCAGCCCAGTAAAGGATGGACAAAACGTGCCTGGCGATATTAACGCAGGCTACAACGGACCCCATCCTGTTAGGGTATGTCTCTGTAATAAC